AGGGCGGTAACTTTTGAACTAGTAGCCCAATCTTGGAACTGTTTGAAATTATGGATTCTACAGGGCACATTCTATAAGAACATTTTTTTCCCCGGTCGATCTGAGACAATTTTTTCTTCGGGGCTCAAAAAAAGGCAGTGTAAACCTTCCTTTTTTATCTCCTCAAACACGCAAAATGGGACCGTTTAAGGACACCCAAAAATTGCTCAACGTTTGAAAGGTCACTAGAAAATTTTACAACATAATCTACCCCTGTTTTAACATAGCTGAGTATTCGATTGCAATGCATCCAACGAACAATGCAAGCATTATTCCTAAAGCGCAGCATGTGGTCACTAAAAAAATAAATCAAGAAAGAGAAAACAGATCGCAACCGTCTTAAAAGTTAGTGTAAAATAAATATGAGATCTGAATCGAAAAACAGTAACATGTTAATAAGAATGCGCTTGCTCGCTGGCATTACAAGGTGCTATAAAACTCAGCACAGCATGAAGCTAATAAAGTAAACTTTTTATCTCATTTGTGTATTTTTTTAGCAAAAGATGTGAAAGAAATTTCAATACGACCTACGCCCGGTGGTGCTCGCGGTATTACAAAATCTCAATTTAAAAATACACATGCAGTTCTGGCGAAGAAAAACAGTTTGATTATAATTGACATATATATGTAAAATATGTTTTTGATTAGTGGATCATAAATATCATGGAATGTAGGTGGTTTGCTTGGGGGCGCGTATTTCAATTTCATTCGATTAGTTAACGCTTTCTTAAAGTACCAAATCTAATGCGGTTGTGAAAATACATTTCTTTTGGAAGCGCCTTACTTTAATGTCGTTCATTTCCTGTCTGTTATCACTATTTCGTGCTGCAACTGCAGTTAGGGTACATTGCCAAACGTACTACAGCGACCCCTCTTCTTTTTATCTTTTGCCATTTGCCGTGTCAATCTTTACCCCACAATCTGCCCTAACTAACATGGTTACTCCAATTTCGCTCTTTATCGACTGGTGCTCTCTACGAGGGTTATTTTCCAACAAATAAATGACACGTTTTCTTAGAAAGAGAACCGTCAAATTGTGCCTCTCGACCAATAAATCAAATTTAGTTAATTTTCTAGTTAACTTAAGATCGTTTGTTACAGTCGTTAAAAACAAACCCCTATAGCCTTATAGAAGTTTTTAACGAGCGACACAAGTGGGATGTAAGAAAGTTACAATTTAAACAATTAACTTGCCCTCTTTATGTAACACCCACAAGCGAGCTCGCAAATCTACTGGAAACAATAATTCAATTTAGTTTACTTCAGTTAACTCCCTCATAGCATTTCCCAGTTGCATTTCATTGCGTATCCGTAAGTTTTCATCGGGTTTTACGATATGTAAAACGATTACCGATTAGTTTTGTATTTGTAAGTCATGAGGGCGTACTTCAGCCTGTGGCGATTTGTACACTACACGTTTCGCTTCCGCTGAATTCTTCGAATACGATGGAGAGTTTAACTAAACTTGTATACTTAAAAAAACAATTAAACGCATTCTCAATATCTGGAAGGTGTGTTATATTTTTCAGGAGAAGAAAATTATTGTTGGTAATAATAGAATGACTGCGATTTTTGAGGGCGAAGCTTTGCCATTGTGCAGTGGCGACTTTTACTTTCTTCGAAGGCAGATTTGTATAACTGGATGATTGATGTAACAGTTATGTTCCATTTTGTAAGATTTTCAGATGCCTCCTGTCAGCTTGGCTCAATAGGCTGAATTGATCGTGTATGAATGGGGCCATTTGTAATACTAACGGAGAGGTTTTTTTCGGTTTTGTGTTGTTGAATATGCTGAAGCGTATTTGTCTGACTTATTTCCTGAAACATTTCCAATTCCGCGATGGGATTTCCTTACATTCATGAAGTATATGCGTCTAATAATTATTACTAACGTGTGTGGTCCTTCAAAATATTATTTAAAGAAAGCATAAAACAGAAACGGAATTGAGAATAAGCTAACATAGGAGCAGCTGAAAATTTCGACGTATACACAGATGCGTATAATAAGCTTTTAAGCGTGGCGATGTTTGTTTAGGTCGAATACTAGGATTAAACACATCTGAAAGGAAGGGAATGGAATGTCTAATTTTCCGAAAGTCAATAGCAACTGGTTCACGTGTCGAGTAGACCTACGATATAAGGACAAATATTACCTAAATAATACCTACCGCAACAAAAATTAATTACCTGCTTAGAATGAGATCAAAATGTCGGCAGTTGACTAGAATACCATTTTAATTTAATCGAGGTTTGAAAACTCATTATTTAAAGATTACAATACATTTGAATAAGGTCTGAAAGATACTCTATAATCTACAAGTAACTACCACATAAGCCCCATCTTCCCGCTTTGAAATTTCGCGATGTTCAATAAAATCCGCTTAATTCATCTATAAGCAACCCTTCAACTACCAAATAAAAATAAAATCCCCTCTCGTTTTGAAATTGAGCGATTTTCAAGAAAATCGGCGGCTTTACCGACACAGCAATATTCAATTGCGCGGGCGATAACCTTTGTTGCACATCAAAAATGTTTCTTCAATAGATTATGGTTAAATAACCTGGAAACAACCATTACATTGCCACATATAATCTGTTTCCGTTTTGAAATAGGGCATTTTCAAGAAAAGTCGGTTTTACTTACATAGCAATTGCCTAATATCCAATTGCACACGTTGTAAATCTTGATTCTCATCAAAAATTTTTGTTTCTTTAATATATTAGGCTTAATTGGTCACATAAATATCAAATCTTTTGTCGTTCTGAAAATTTGTAATTTTTAGAAAATTTCGTTCTTATCAGGGTTCTTATCTAGCAATATTTAACTGCGACGGTTGTAACTTTTGTTGCACATAAATTCTTTAATAGATTATTCTTAATTGATCTACAACCCCTATAAAACTAAAATCTCTTCCCGTTTTGAAATGTTATTATTTTCAAGAAAAGGCGCCTTGTCTGCATAGCAGTTTTTTTGTTTATGTGTTGCATTTTCCATTTTTAGCTTATAACTCTTTTTATTAAGTGATCGGAAATGTGTTTATTACCAAAGTTTCTTTGTAATGATAGCATCGTAATTTGCCGTTTTCAAAATAAGTATACGGCGTCAGGTAAAAAAGTTATTGAAGCATTTTTTAAATGGATTCAATTCAAAAAGGAAGTTTTTAAGGAAACTAAAAAATTCAAAAATTTTGTGAATTTTTTAATCATTTGAATCTTTTTTATGTGAAAATCACTTGCACCATTTTTTAATATCATCCCTGGTGTGCTATACCTAGTTGGGAAAAGATAATTTAGTATGCTATTTGTTTAGATTAAAACATACCGGATTTCCCAATTTAAAAAAATGAGGTTAAGCTCAATAACTTTTTCCTTGATGACAGACAGACCTGAATCCTTATCATTATTATTAATGAGTTGTAGTAGTGTTGAGTATTTTATAATCCTTATGAGACGTTCGGGTATTTTTTTACTAACATTCCAGCATTGGTTACCGTTGAAAATGGTGCTTAGAGTGCTCCCCTGTGATGTATCTCACATGGAAGTACCAATGTTGAAACATCATTAGAACTTTCACTGCTGGCTCATGGTTATGTATGAATTCAATTAATAATATTTATTAACACATCTTCAAAATTTATTAATGATGATTAAATGTTGAGCGTAGATAAAGGTATGACGAGTGATTCGATTTTTAAGGTCACACTATGACGAACTGCCATACCTATACCCTAAAATAGTAACTAATATAGAAATTTTATTTTTTACAAAAAAAAGACAATAACACACGGCAAATAATACACGAAGGTATTGTAAAAACTCTTCGTGAAATGAAATGGTCGTGCTTTTTGTATTTCGTAAGCAAACAAAGCAGCATTCGTTACTATGGTTAGAGGTACTGAAATAACGCGTAACAAAGACCTTGTTTTTTTGTATAAATGAACGTACCTACTATAATTATCTTAATGAAATTGTCTCACACCTCATTCGCAGTTTTATTGGTTCATTAGTCTTACCTTACATTATAACTTTTTGCAATACGTTTAATTAGACACACCAATAAACTAGTGCGCAAGTAGGTAGTGTTTCTGTTTAGTATACACAAAAGCCTGTAAAAAGCTCGACATGCCGACAGAATATGTCATTAGATTAGAGAAACACTATGCTATTTATTTATATCACCTTGTATTTGGAATTCCATTTTGAGTTAAAAAAAATAGAAAAGTGTAGAATGAAAATTTTGCACCCTGCGCAATGGGGATTTCAATGATTTCAATCTCTTCAATGTTTTATACTTGTAATAGAAACTAAAAATATCAATAGTAGAATTACAGGAAACTCTCAATTACCTCCAACTCTGCATTTTAATTTTGTTATTGATAAAGCCACTAGGGAGCAAAGCGTCCAATTAAGTGGTAACCTCCTTATTATTTCATGAAAGTAACTTAATCAGTTCAAACTGAAATCGGGAATGAGTATGCCAATGTGCAATTTGATATGTTTGCGGCTTTTGAATCTCGTTGTTATTTAGCTAATTTCAGCATTCACTTCATTTTGTGCTATGCAATCGGTAGTATTCGCATTACAGAATTACACATCTAAGGTCCGGAAAAGCGGATTTGTATAATTACATGATATACCTACATAAGAGCTTAATCAGAAATGCTCTTATATGTATATTATAGTGTACCTAAAACTCCTCTAACGTCGAGCCGTAACCTTTTTTATCGCAACGTTCATTTTGTTTGTTCATGGATCGTTCTAAATCTAGCTGAACGGTGTAAAAATCGCCTACTTCTTTTGAGGCATTAAGCAAAAATGGGAATGAACGCTTTTTGTCTTCTGCAGCCTGCCCGTAAACTAGTAACTAATATCCACGATTTGTATTCTCTTACCAAAATTCACAATCGGGATTCAACCGCAGGTACTAATTATTTTCATTTACTAGAATAAAAAATTCTTACCCATAGCCGAGGTAATTAGCATTGCAATTAAGCACAAACAATATGACTCCATCATGTTCACTTTCTAACATTTTATTTAAGGAAAATTATATAAATTCATCGCTTCTTTTTAGAAAATTAAAGTTGTTTATAATACGCGATATTAAAGGTACAGAGGACACGAAACATACTTCCTAAAAGCTCGCGCATGACTAACCCCGAACCCGGAATCCGGACTCCGGACTTGCTACCATTCTATTCACTTTTCAGTTGCAGCTTTCATATAAGCTCTATTTGTACCAGCGCACTAGAAGCTTTCTCACAAATAAACTTCGGCTGTATAATAGAGAAATTATAAAATGTAGTATGGAAAGCGTTTTTGACTTCGCAAGATTGGTACAACTGGCTGTTAAAATTCCAGAAATGTACACAAATGTAACAAGTCATTATTGGAAAATGCCTTTCATGAAGTAGTGAGACGCGCTTTTAAAGGGGGGTTGTAAGTAGGTGCACATTACACTTGCAAGCGTCTCCTTGCTCCGTTCTTGTATTTACAAGCTTTCCTTGGTATGGATTTAAATTTCTAAAGGAGATTCAATTACATTATTACCCGGACCTCTTTGAAATGAATGGAATTACTAATTTGTTACACATGCTGAAGCCTGACGATTAAACGCAATTGCAATACTACCAGATAAAATAATATAATTAATTATTAATAATAAAATTAATCTCACCCTAACTAGAAAAACTGATAGTTACTGCAACATCTACAGAAAACCTATACTACAACAGATGTAATTAGGTATACCCTTTAATTCATATCATGCACCCCAGATTAAAACTAGCATTTAATTATTTTTCAGACTTTTAAATACCCCTCTATTAAAACAAATTTAATGCAGGACTTTAATTGAGGATTTAACACCATTTTACAAATGGAAATAATACTAAAAACTAAAACTACCCATCTATTACAAAATCAAAAGACCTCAATGAAATTTATCTCTGTTATAAAAACTTATAATATAACTTCCTGTCAATTCCATACCATCCACGAATACACAACAAACTATCTACAAGACTACAACCCGCAAAATGTTCAACTTAAAATTAAAAACCAATCTCACCCCACACTAGCAAATCCCTTGGTCAATAATAAACCCCCAAACCCCAAAATATGAAAAAGGCCGGTATCTATGAAATCCAATACCACATTTGCAATATATCCTGCATTGGACTTATATTAAAACACGATTCAAAGAACATAAAAATGATTTAAACATAATCTACCAAAGAAGTAAAAATATTTGGGGTACCAGGTACCACACCAAACTAACCAAACAAAGTGCAACCCTCGCAATCGAGGATAGCATACATGGAGATGTGGATTTTCTAAAAAAAATTACGTACTTTTAATCTAAAAAGGCACTTTAGAGGGTAATTGAAAGGTTGCTTACAGACCACTCATACATAAGCTACTAAAGAAACGTAAATAATTTATCTATTTACAAGAGTTACAAACCCCGCAATCGAGGACTGCTATACACCAATTGTGAATAATCTAAAAAATATTGTAATTAAAACGAAAAAAACTTTATATTTGGTGGGTAATGAGTATGTACAGATACCGTGTACAGGTTGCAACCCCTAACCAGTTTTAATTTAATTAAACGGTTATGTAGTTAATTATTAATTATTAATTCAAAGTGCGTAAGAAGGTTGAGTGCGCTATATAGCAGGTGTAATCCTCTACTATTTGGGGTACTTTTGTTTACTTTTTTTTAGTGTTCGTAAGCTTGTTTATTCAGGGGGAGGAGTATGTTTACTTGATTCGGCGACCTAGTCAGAGTTTTGTTGAAATGTTGGTACAAATGTTGGTAAAATTATCGTTGTGGCCCTGGGCTTAACTCAGCGATTCAGTGTTTGCCTTTTTTTTATATTATTATGACATGTCTTCTACTCACAGATTTATAGATTTATCAATATTTATATCGTCCTGAGTAATTTTGTTTGTTGGCTGTAAATACATTGTGTTTGCTGTTGGTATTTGTGTATGAGAGGCTCCTTGGGATGCTGAAGGTGTTGCCTGAAGTTTTCAACAGCTACGGTCCGGCTCCCGTTATATTCAGCAGCGGGTTAGGAAGCGAGCTGGTGGCGTCTACATTCATTTTTTTTGCCTTTAGTCGATTTGAGGGTTGTAGTAAGTTCCGGTCAACGCGGCTATTAGCTAAGTTGGCGTTGTAGCAGGTTTGCTTATAACATAACATGATCTATCAAGCAAAATCACGTATTTACTAACGATAAAAATTTTTATTTTTAGGGGATATTGGATAGATGCTTGTGATTTCTTTAACAGATATCGATCAAAGAAACAAAAATATTGTATGCACTACAAAAGTTACAACCCCGTAATTGAGAATTGCTACACATCTCCATTCACAAGTCACAAATATTTATGGAACATTTATAGTAACAACAATACTAGGTTAATATTTCTCGATTACCGTCGAACGAATCCATCTTTTCACGAACTAGATCCTCGTTAGTATGTGTTTAACGTTAATAGACTCTTCGTCATCATTGCGCCGTTTTTGCAGTGTTTTGAAGCCAAAGGACAACTATTACGAAACTTCTAAATTGTTTAAAAATACTCAGAAAGGCCCATTCCAAATCCCCATATGATGTTTGCCGAGATGTTTGCGTACAGGAAGTTGACGACGGCACTGAACTTTTTAATATTTAACTCAAACAGAAAAACTCTTTTTGCATTAAAAATGGCATACCTATTAATTTATGAAAATTCAATACTATTTTTTAACATATACCTATACCTATCTAAAAAATGTATAGTAAGTTCATCTGGATTTAATTCAACAACTAAATTACAAGTTACAATCTCCACAATCGAGGATTGATGTACATGTAGTTGTGAATTTTCAAAAAAAATTAAATTTTAAACCCATCTTTTCGGTCAACTCAACATCACTTAAACATAATCTCCAAAAGAAGCAAAAATATTTGGTTTACTACAAATGTACAACCCCGCAATCGAGGAATATATTTTTACTATCCATCCAACGTTAATTAAATGCAAAAAAACTACACAAGAATCGTAAACAATCGCTAGAAATTGTGACATATTGTGTTTAAAAGCTGAACAAATCGAAGGTAGGTGAATAGGGATCGTTCGCCCTGTCGGTTGCCAAGGGTGACCGATAACCCCCGGTATCAAATAGCCCTCAAAATTTTTATGTGTTGCAGGAGGGAGCACCTTAAGGGATGTCTGTAATATGTAAGTCAAAGTTAAGGTTAAGTTAAATACACGTCTATCCGTGAGGATACGCTAGCTATATCGTGATGCCTTGAAAACGATAGCGATGGATTTTTGGGATCGCGGTGATTGATTTACTCAATTTGCGACTTGTAAGCTTGTCATTTCCTATTATCCTTGAGAAATGGAGTAAAATTGAAACTACACCCCCTTATATGCGAAAAGCCATAAGATACACGTGTCCATTCGGTAGTAGGATAAACATTTCCATGTGTTCCTAAAAGGCCTGTCATCGCTTAGACTAAGAATCTAAGCTAAGGCAACAAGGTAGGTAGGTATCTAGTAAGATAACAGCTCGTTAAAATTATATTGTGTGTAGGAGTTTCGAAAGTTGAAATCAGTATAAATGTTGTAGATTCATAACTTCACCAATCAGTGTAGATACACGTTTCAAATTTGAGAAACAATCACAAAATAAAATCTTCGGATGGCCTTAAAATAATTATAACTGGCGTAAGATTTTATCGGCGACTGCACGGAACCGCTGTCGCCAGAAGCTCCAAGTGTCATTTATTGAGATAAACAGCCTGATAGGTCTATCAAAGTTTGGATGTCTAATTAATGGTAGGCGTAGACGGCGTTTATACTAACTTCAATTCCAATTGTGGGACTTGCTAGCTTCATGTTGAAGTCGATACTCGATACCTACACAAAAAAGGGACATTGTTTTGGTACCTCATCAGTCAGAATCATTATTGATTGTTGTTTTACCACCTTAATTAGCTAATGACAGGTATTAAAAACTATTAATTTGATTTTAAACATCATTTTCGTAGATGCACCTACTCTCAGGCAAAAAGACTGAAACTTTTTAATAGGATTTCAACGTATGTGGTCCCGAAAGGTGTAATCTTATGAAATTAAAATTATACTGGAAAGGGTGTTATTATAGTAAACGATCCTTAACGCGCGTGGTTCTTTTATATGATAATCTCATCTTGAATGCCTTTGTTTTAAGTAACCGAGGAGAAGCCGGTCCCAAACGACACAAATTGAACGTAATTAAAAACACTGAGTGTGCATAAGAAAGTTGTTTAATTAACACGTAAGGATTTACCTATCTCGGTTTTTATACGTAGGATTCATTTTTCAACGCAAAAATAAAATCCGCGTTAATTAATACCTTGAGAGCCTCAACTCTTACCTTCCACCTGTCAGAAGCTGCGCGAATTTATAAGTTTTGAGAGAAGGATGTCAAGATAAATATTTTAAGCATGACTTCGTTCCGTGGGATATTCGCAGGAGAATATTCTAAATTGAAAAAGAAACACTTTTACAAAGCTGAGAATAATAAATGCATCCCGAAACAAGATTTTGATTTCACTTTATAAATTTTGGATATTATAAAATGTCAATGGTAACCGTAAGAGTATTTCAAACATTTTTACTACGGCCCTTTCTTCGTGAATTATAAAGTTCGAGCAAAGTTTTCGTAGAGGGCTTGTTAATTATTAAATCACGCATCTCGCCATAAGTTTAAGGGGCATTTCTAATTTAGGCAGATTCTCCCAAACAGTTTGTATATGCAAAATGTACACCAACAAAGATGTTCTGTTAAGTAGGTACGCATTTAATACTTAAGACAGTCATTTAACAAAAATCAGCCGACGCGAGAATATACACCGTCACTAAATTGGAGAATTAATAATGACCACACATAGACATCTAACTAACAACGTAGGAATGACATATTGAAAGCCGGTGAATTTTGATAGGAAAGGCGTCTCTTACTTCAGTTCCGATTAATTTACCTTATTAAGCATTCAAAAAGGTGCGAAAACATCAGCTGAAATATAGTACAAAAATATGAAATGTTGGGCAATCCGCGGATCATTAATTCTGTCGGTGGTAGTGGCTTAAATTAACACTTCGTTATTTATCGACTAATAATACCAAAATAACGAGCT